CACACACACATAAAATACACTCCCCCCCTCCCAAACCTAAAATAAAATAAAGTGCCCCCTCACCTGCATAACTTTTTGCAGGGAGGAGGAACAATCCCTTGTGATCCAGTGCTTGATTAGTAATGTCTGGTGCAGACCTTACTAATTCATCCTTTCGGCCAACGGTCAGTGAAAATCGCCAGCCAAAAGCATCTGAATGCTGATGCAGCTAGGAGCAGCTCTGTAGTCTGCATCTGACAGAGATGCAGACCGTGCAGCTGCTCCCACAAGTCGCGGGCCAGTACTTAGACACCCCTGATTTTAAGGCTATGGGCAACCTTAGATAGTGCTAAAGCAGAGCTCTGTAATACTGTTGGCTGTCATTTATCTCAGAGAAAGGTAAGAGAAAGGAGGATGCAATATAAAACAAAGATAAAAATGTTAGGCAAAGGGGGCTTATAAAGATGGATGGACAGTTTTGCTGGTTTAAAGACCAGAGCAGTGCACAGAGAAAAGCATCTAGGACATAAAGTACAATTTCATGCCAAATATAATATATGCATACAGTATTATATTTGATACGCATTCCTGGTGCTGACCACCCACTTCAAGCATTGGGCATTAAAATCAGTTATTTGACAATGTCACATTTCTTTTATGGATTCTCTGTCACATAGAACAGATAATTATTAAGTGCAACTGAATGATATCTTCATTGTAGCCTTTCAGGAGAGGGTAGAGATAGAATAAAACGTCTTACCATTGGAGTCTCAGAGATCTAAGATTCAAACTGATGCCCTTTTGGATTTAAAACCACATATGGGTGAAAATGGACAGTAAAATATCTGAAAGGAATAGTATTCTTTCTTGCCCAAAGCAAACCTTTGCATTTACGAACATGAAGTTAAAAAAAATTAATAATAATAAAATGGAAGATACATCCATACATGAGGTTCCCAGTTTTAGAAAATCACAAAGTCAAGTGTTCACCTTTGATATTACTTGAGTTTTATTGTCCAGTGTCAGGCTGGATATCTTTTCCACACATTGCACAATTCTTGTGCACGCTTTGGCTTCATTTTGTGCCTCCCATAGAATGTGGTCATCTACAGACATAATGTTACTTGCAATCTCTACCAGAATCCCTTCGAGCTGTTAAGGAGAAGATATAATTAATTTACAACCACTTGGTAAGAGCAATATACTGTAGTACTAAATCAGACCCACCTATTACTAACAGTGAAAAGCAACAGGTACATTTAGAAATTAGTGTTTCACAAAAACTATATAGGTGGGAGGAGGTCGGGGGTATAAATAAGACTTACTGTGAAATGTCACAAGACATTCATCAACCTTTTGATTTAAAAGGTCTGATTATCTAAGCCTTCTTGTAGATGTTCCCTGCATTCTGATTGGTTTGTCCATGGATATTTTACAGGTAAAGCATCCTACTACAACCCATGATGGTAGTAATTTCAAGAACATAGGAGACTGACCATTGAAAAAGACTGCTCGGTCCACCTTTTTGTTGCTTTACACATTTTTGTCTAAGGATACATCAAGATGCATGCTTACATTTACTTACCACTTCTGCCAGACGTCTGTTTCAAGTATTTACTGCTCCTTCAGTAAAATAACATTTTCTAACTATACTCTTGAACTTCCATTCTGCTAGCATGAGGTCTTACCCCCTATTCATGCTTTTAGTGTAATACTGAAAATATTGGGCTCCAGAACCTTATTCACACCCTAAAATATATAAAGATTTCCATCAGGACCCCACTTTCCCTTCTCTCCTCAAGGCTAAAAGGCTCATTCTGTCTCTCTTGATATGTTTTATGCCTTAGACCTTGCCCCATTTGTGTTGTATGTCTTAGGACTTGAACTGATTGGACTGGGCTATTTATTCAGTCCAATGGTGAGGAGATTAAATGTATTAGCTGTATATACACCTCTATCACCTTGCACTTCCCACAAGTTGGCCACATTTAAAAATATCAAAATTCCCCCAAAGCTTAAATTAAATCTAACTTTTTTTTTCTTTTTTGGACCATACGTCTGTTATGATTTTGAACTGATTTTTGCTTGAAATTGTCTGAAGATACTTTTTTTTTTCTCTTAAGCTTTTTTCTGTCACCCATGAAGCCTGGCTGAAATACAGGGCACAGCAGACAATAGGCTCTCCACCTGCCCTCAGTAATAAAGGAGTGCAGGTGCTCTGGTTCAAAAGCAGCACATGAGCAGAGTGCACTGTATTTCTCTATACCAGAAACACTGAACTTATCTGCTGGTGGGAGTGAAGGAGACAGTGTGCACGGTGCGTGTGCGGCTTTTAAAACAGGAAGCACACTCACTCCTGCAATGCTGGGGAGGGGCACCTAATGTCTGGCATGCCCTGGAAATAGGGCAGAATGTAGGAATGTAAGCATTGGGAGTATTTTATGAGTGAGCTTTATATATGACCAAAAAGGCCTGCAGGTATGGCATTTGCATTAAACCATATTTTTACAAACAACACAGAGCATGACTACATGGGTCAGTGTATGTAAAAGGTGAACTTAGCCTTTAAATGTATATCAGATTGCCTACTGTTTGTGGAATAGCAGCTCCTAAAGTTTTACCTGGAACATGACCTCTAATTTCACATTTTACCTGCAATACCATTTGATGTATTACATCTGAGTTCAGTCAGGATGGGGCACCAATTTTTGTCTAAGTCCAAGACCAATAGAGCAGTCTCCTTCTAAACTGATAGTTGTGAAAAAGCGAGTGGGTGATTCATCCCCCAACAATAGTGTCAGTTTTGGGTGTACTGACGGATAGTTTAATAAAAAGAATGCAATGATAAATCACATTAATCTGCAGCTCCTCTGTCAAGTGTGCAGCAATTCTCCTACTGGTCTGCAAAAGACAAATCCTAGTAAATCTTTTTAGCAAACAGCTACTAAAACATAATTCCTAAGACCAGGTTATAACAGATTTATTCAGCCTAGCTCTGGTAGCTATTCATTGAGAATCTGTGTCACCAATGTGCTGTGGAATAAGGCTCTCTTCTATACCATAATTATATTATTCTTTTAGTTCTGCATATAGCCTACTTTCTGGGACTTTTTTTGCTGAATGGCTCTTACTATTTCCAGCACACTAGCCCTAAGCAATTCTGTGATGCACTTCCATTAGAATTTGCATTCAGAAAGCATCATTAAGTTAGAAATACAGACATTTTAATAAATGCATGAAGCTTTTATTCATGCCTAATAAAATAGTAAGGAATTGTACTTAAAATGGAGAGGTCATTTCTAGACAGTTTTTTGAAATAAGAGAATATTTCAGGGGAACTAGAGGGAAGGAATCATGGTAAACTGCAATATAATCTGTATGCAATTAGAATTATAGGGATCAGCTGCACTATGCGATTGTAAAGGTGGAAGCTGCAAACCTTATTGTCAAGGCCCCAAAAACAGGGATTGAAGCCTTGGTCAATTGAGTTTTTTTTCTTGAGGTTCTCATTGGCACCCTATAGAAGCATGATCATCAAATGCAGAGACTTCAAATGTTCATGATCAGTGAAAGGACCAATAAGATTTAAGGTACACATCTGAGTAACCGCATTATGGAAAAGCAAGACCAGATTTGGGGATATGTGTCATCAATGAGAAAAATACTTTGAAGAGCAATTTCTGAGAACAAGTAAAACCAGTCAGGGGACTTTCAATGCCTGCAAACACTACACTGAATTCGACTTAACTCAGGCTCCAATGTATCCATCTCAGCTAAACTTCCAGTAAAACTTTTCTCATGTACTGCAAGTCGATCTATTTAACAAATCCTGTACCACCTTCCCTCTACTTAAAGTATCATCAGTTTTGGGTGTTAAAAGCTTTTCTTAGCATTGATATTTTGATATATCAAGCTCTCTGTATGTATGACACAGCAATGATTCAACATTGGCCATGTTCTGGAATATCTCTCCTGTACTGCAAAGAGTAGAGCAAAAACGTTTTCCAGGTAATCCATTTGCCAACAAACAAGGGTGGAGTAATGAGAATGGTGCACTACAGTTTTATCTGGATGTGTTGATGTATGTCAAGACTGAACTTTCAGTCTTGACATACATCAACTTTCTAGAGTGAAGAGAAGAGCTAGTTCATGAAAAAATGCATGCTTTGTGCTTGAGAAAGAGCCAGCGAAGGCTCGAAATGTTGCACTAGACAGAAGAAGCAAGCTCTTTTACAGCTGACTTTAACATGATTTTAAAAAGGGCTGTTTTTCACTTTTATAGGATTCATGTGCGGACTGCCATTTATTATTATAGATTATGGTATAGCTTTGATGATCTGCAATATCAAAACCTACAGACTTCCTCAGAAGCTGTATTCCTTTCCTATTATGAATATATGGTAATAGCCCACCCTCTACCCCAGCACCAATAAGCTTAGGAATGACTTTCTGAATGCACAAGTGACTTCCAGCTAGAGTATAGCTTTTTTTAAACTGTAAAATAGTAAACATTCTGGAGTTAACTTAAACTTAATATTTATCCTGTTGGGGAATCCTAGAACAGAGCTTGACGAGAACAGTTGGCCACTGTCTGGGGTGTTATTCGACCACTGGCTCTGGTTTAATATCCTCCCGCAGTGGAGGTTTTACCAAGCTTGCACTGACCAACTCTTAAAAGTGGACCTTTACCTGCTTTCACTAAAAATGACATCAGCATGCAGCTCTGCTTGCTGATATGAAATCATCTTACATTCATTAAACAGTTTTATTTTATATAGAAATACAGTTTGTCCACTTCCTGGTCCTCTTTAGGCATTGGTGATGTAGTGTGCCCAAGCGTTGCAACTTGGGAAGGTTACCTCAGCAGATAATTCTTGGGAAATCTCATCTGAAACCCCACAAGTTCTCTGGGAAAGGCATTTTCCTCCCCTGAGATGATGTGCATGGTCACATGTCCTAGTCACATGTGCCAGAGTTCCAGGGGATAAAGGGAGATGGATTCACCTGCCTTTAGTAAAAATGGCAACTGTGACTAAAATGGGGAGGAAAAGGCAAATAAGGTATGCAAAGAATAAAAAGCCTCCAATTATCTATATGTATCTGTTTGTAGATGGTCATTACTAAACATTTCTAAAAGGTGTATTTATTGTCATTTCAAAGATAAAGGTAAAGTTCCTCTTTAAGCAATACATTGTCGAGCTCTTAGTTGGCCAACGTATGCTGTAACTGAATTTTCAGTGGCTTGATGAAAAACTGCACAGTATTGTTTGAAGACACACTGTGGTGTTATGGTGTAATGTGATCAAAGCACTGATAAAAATTTGTTTTCTCTATGTGGGAGCTTGCTGGTTGCCATGGTGCATGAAGAAAAACTTAAATTTTAATTGGTAGTTATTAAAAAATGTGGATGGCTGCAGACTGAAATGGGTAGGTTATTTTTAATAACTTTGAATTTCAAAACACAGTTTTGCTTTAAACAAACAATAAAGGCCAGGTTATGTACATACTACATTTAGAAAAAACTGCTTATAAAAAAGCTATACAGCAGCATTTACTGTACTGTTTGTAAGCAAGGATTCCAGGCTTGCCAATTACCAGCATATTACTACTTAAATACATTTGACTAACCTACTTTGAAGTAAGATGAAATTAGCAAAATAGTTAAAAACAGAGGCAAGTTGATTTGTTAGAGAATAAACGTGAGAAAATAGGTACTACTGAAATAGATACTGCTAAGGAACCCGCTAATAAGTATATGATATCTTGCTAGATACATATTTGAAAATGTTTATGAGCTGGACTCACAAAGAGGTCTTTCTCCAGCTGTTAAACAACAGCTCTCAGCATGCTTGCTATAAGCGAATATACCAAATGTTTTCCCTACTATTTGGTAAGTCCCGTGCATGCACTCGTGCACTCAGATATAATTTTATTTTACCATTAAAAGTAATTTAAAGCAGTAAGTAGCTCAATACTGCATTTGTGACGGTTCTGTGAATTTCTTTTTCAATGCAGACCACCGCAATGCATATCATGTGGGTTGTGGTGAGCTGCAGAGAGCATCTATTGCAGGCTACTGTAGTTCAAGTGCCAGAAATTGCAGTAACTTGTGTTAATGCAGTGCATAGGTCTGAAGTGGGTGGCTGAAAGTCTTCCTTGTTAAAAGGCCATAAAACATACATAAATTGTTATGTTACATAAAATAGTTGCTAGTAACAATCACACATACAGTATGTATGTATATTCCCCCATCCTTGATATCTGGCAGATGTGAAACTTCACTGTAAAGCCTATTGTGATGAGCTAACGGCCATGTTCGGAAAAAAGAGGCATTAGAATGAGCTTTGGTAGTTTTCTTCTATTGGAACCCTAGTCCCTGTTAAAAATATTGACGGACATCTACTACTTTGTATTAGCATAGGAAGGGAGAATTCTGCTGTGAATCTGAAATTCATAAAGAGACTGTCCAAATCAATAAGGTATTTCATTTTCAGCATCAGTCAACCTCATGTGCCTTGCAGTCATTGCACCTATGGTTTTCCATCAGAAAATATACCCTTGTACAGTGGTACCTCGGTTCACGAACGCTTATGTTCGCGAACAATGCAGTTCGCGAACATGAAGTTCTGCAAAATTTTGCTTCTGTTCGCAAATTCCGCATCGGGTTCCAAACATAACCGCAGTCACCTTCCCTGCTCTGACAAATGGTCGTGGCTTCCTCTAGTCGAGATCGCAGTCTGATTACAGTTTGATTCGATTTGCGACCAGCATCGTGGAACGAATTAAGTTTGTGAACCGAGGTACCACTGTATATATGACACCTATACTATACTTAAAAGCCTTCTGGCATTTAAATAACCACAGGGGCCATTCCAGTTGTCTGGAAACCACATTCAGTAGTTGGAAATATTATGAATGGAACAGAATGTTTAGAAATATAGGAGTGTAGTTTTCAGAGGTGCCCAACTGCTTACTAACAAGGTAAATAAATGGCATTAATTTCATTTAAAAATCAGGCAGTTCATGACAGATCACAGGACCCATCCCATAGGGCAGTTGCCAAGATATCACATAACCCTCCCTGCCCCATGTGCATCTTTCAACTGCTACAGCTGATGGTAATGGAAGTACACCAAGACATGAGAGAACTGAGGTTTGACTGTAGGAACTGCACTAAATGTATTCCACTCTGGGAATCATATCTCAACCACAGTCCCCAAGTTCCATATAAAATTGGGGTTCTTCATCCCAATCAAGGATGTCTGTGCCCCAGAGAAGCTGTGTTAATTACTATGGCAACATTGTTTATCAGAAACAACAACAACAAAAATGTACCTACTTTGCAAAATTCAAGCAGCATTTGTTTTCAAATGCAAATAAAATAGCACCTCTTTTCAAAATAATTTTTCCCTCCTCTTTTGGAAACCTACATGTTTGATTCGTTGCAGAAACGCTATCATCCTTTCCATCATGTCGGCGACCAACACCACATCCATCTTATCGGAGAAGTCTAAGGCTCCCTTGGTGTAGGTCATTAGCTGCTGAGCATATTCAAGGACATTGGAGTCATTCACAGGCATCTAGAAGAAGAGTATTGTTATGGTCCTTAATGCATTATTAAAGGAAATCCATATCTTGAGTTTGCAAATATTGTCTATTAAATCGGTAATACAAAAATGGGAATGGCAACAAAAGATATTTACAGAGATCTTTCTTTTGCACATTTAAATAGTTTACATACTGACATTTTGCATAATTAAATTTACATAATAGCACTGGTAAAACATAATGATCTCCTGTGTATATTTATGAAGGGTTTGATAGGTTTCATGATTTATTACATTATATATTGCATGATTTATAAAGATTTATTTATGTGTCCAGCATCAAGTGGGAATGGTGGAAATTTGGCTGTCACTAACAACCCAAGAATTCAGACAGTATAGTGGAAGAAATACTAAGAGGAAGCTTTTAAGCTAAACTCTTGCTGCAAAATATAATATAAAAATATTATTTAATATCCACAATAGCTATAAATCAACTAAATGTCTTTGCACACCGGCTCCTAATGAAGAGGGCACAAGTCCTTGGTAATTAGGAGCAATCTGCTCCATTTTCTATGCCATTTCATAGCCAGACGCGGCTTAGAGAGCAAGAGAACTGGAGCAACTTGCACCTGCACTCAAAAGAAATGAGAAAAAGGAAGTCCTTTATCCCTGCATTTGCCAGGGTTAATAGCTGGGCATACCGACAGGGAACTGAGCTTTTCTTGCTTACATGCAGGCTCTGCCCGTGTAGTTTGTTCACTGCATAGGCAGAGAAGACTGTCATGGGACAAGCAAACAGTTCACATTCCATATGCCAGGCCCAATATAGCAGGGCTCTGCATCAATTTAATATTGAAATCCTGATAGCTGTGTTAATTAGGCACAGAATAGACCTAAAACAAGTCTATCTATATTGTTAATGTGACGCATGCCATTTGCTCACAGAAATCACACCAGGAAGCTTTGTTAATTATCCTAATATTTCATTGAATTTATTTCATTTTTTTTTTAGTTTTAAAGTCCATTTGAAGGTCTTTGTGAAAAAAAATTATCTAAATTGAGGGTACATTTAAGCACCGTGGCATGTATTTTATCTTGAGTCCCAAACAGCAGGCTGCTGAAAAGCAACTGAAACAACCCAGCTTCCCCCCAGGTTGTAAAGCTGACAAACAACAGTAGAACTTTGTTCAAAGAAATTTATTTTAGCAACGTTTGTTTGATTTTGTAATTCTTGATAGGGTCAAAATCAACAACTGACTCGACAGTAGTTACAAAAAAAACAAAACCTAAATGAGCAGGATGGAAGTTTTTTTGAATAAACAAAATTCTAACAGTGAATGTGGTTTTCATTCAGGAAACCCTTATTCATTCCAAAACCGAATGTTAAATCAAACGAAATTTTGAATGACATTCGTCATGTCTCTGATGTCCTTATAGAATGTTTGGATAAGACTTATACTAACCTTCATACGAAAAACGACCAGTTTATGGAGAGCTTCAGGTTAGGTTCGCACCAAGGCGACACCTCACCACGCGGCAATCGTGCACGATTCCGCACAGATTGCCGCGCGGTCAGGAGTCGCAAAGGTGTGAACCAATCACACTGTGGGTGCCATTGTTTTCTAAAGGCACCCCAGTCACGCCGGGCAGATCGCACTGTTTCCCGTCACGATTCCCGCCCGTGCTTCCGAACACAATCACGGCTATAAAAGCATCATGTATCGTAAAAAAAAAGGTACATGTACCTTTTTTCTGCAATTGCCACGTGCCAGTCACCCCATTAAAATCAATGGGGCCACTGCCTGCATTGTGCAGGACCGTGTGATCCCGGGACGTGCGTCCCGGATGTCTCGCAGAGTAGTGCAAGTGTAAACCTAGCCTAAGAGCTTGAGCCCTCAATCACTGGGAAGCGTACATTTTGCCAATTGCACAACTCTAGCTGGAACTCAGCAGAGGGGAGGGGGGGGGG